AATTAATTAATATTAATTAATCATTAATTACACTACAAATACCAACCGATGATTATCGTCCATCAACAGTTGAGATGTGGTATAATACTTGTTAGTCTTACACTAGTGTAAAAAGAACCTACCTCATATATATATACATATATATATATATATATATATATATATAGAAAATTTGTTATCGCTACACATAAAGTGGCTGAACTTTTGTATACATATATGTGTATGTGTGTGATTTGTTGTTTCTTATATCAGAAAAATATTTCTGCAGTTAATGCAGATAAGTTATCTGCATTTACTTCCAAAATGATATCGTTTTAGAATTGAAAGATTAGAAAATTATAATTATAAATACTGTAATAACCCTGAAATAAATTAAAATTACAAAAATACCATGATTTTCGTCCCAAAACGACGTCGTATTGGACTTACTGCCGATAACTTATCCACAGTAACTGCAGAAAAAATGAACACTTCTTATATTGTAAAAGATACATTTATCTATCTCCTACTCTCATATAAAAATGTGTAGGGTTCATATTTTTTCTTTTTCTTTCTTCTCCTTATTTGGGCCCATATGAACCCTATATACTTTTATATATGTGTAAAAAATAAATTTATCTCTTATAATATGAGAAATATTATTTTCATATATATATATATGGTAAAATTATTTCTGCAGCCGCTTTACGTACAATAATGATAGGTGTATGATTATGATTTCTCACATTTAATACTTTCACCCTTTATATGGTTATAATTCTTCGCATTTAATATTTTCAAGTATATATATGACAAGTATTTAATTATTATACGTACAGGAACTGCAGAAATATAAATCCCTATATATATATATATATATTAATGCTAATATAGGACACAAACACATAATAACATCTAAAAAAACATGTGGCCCATATTATCATGTGACCTTAATTTAGGAGACAGGCCTATATTTCACCGATTAAATTTCTAAGGACACTGACCCATTCTAACATAAATATGTGACCTCCGCACGCTTCCCTAAAATTTAAATCGCTTTTTTATGTGTATAATTGCCATTCCAGGACACTTTTGTTTTATTATTGGTCTTGCAGCTCAAAAATAGTTATTATACGTCAAATCCGCCTTTATTTTTTTTGTTCTTTATGTAAAAGCTACGATCTTTCTCAATCCATGGGTCTGTCTGTCCTTTGTCCTAATGTTTGCAATTTTTTCACCTCCTTTTTCTAAAGTGAAATTGCGCATGGAGATAGGGGTCAAGGTTATCGCTGTCGTGAGGGCCTACATTTTAACAAGTACATTTTCAAGAGCAGTGATATTTTTCACATTCGATTTATGAGCGCATTTTGGGTATTAAGGTAGTACCACTGTCAACTAGTTAGCAAAATCGGTGGCCGTGTCCTGTTTTCTCGTCAATTCGTTAAAAAACAAATCAGTCTATCCTATTTCGTTTTTGAAAGCGGGTTCAAAAACTCAGTCCATCCCGTCTCGTTTGACGAATTGGATAGGTTAACCCGTAAGTCCGAATCTATTTTACTGATCTGCCTCGGTTCGTCTATACCTGCCATCAACCTGCCAAAAATGAGCCCGTCCTATCCCACCTTATTTTTGAGATAAGTTAAAAAACTCAACCCGTCCCATTTCCTTTAACGAATTGCGCGGATTAGCACGATAAACTGAACCTATTTTACCAACTCTACTATCAACGAGTGGATGGAGCATTGGTATTTATATTATATATTAACATAGCTTAAATATAAAAATAATTTTTTTCTTCTCTTTCTAGTACAAAAGTAGGTAACATGGTGTGCTCTGATTGGTTTGCTGTACATACATAGGTAATACAATAATTTTTTTCCCGATTTACATAAAATTTACTGTAGTAAGAAAATATTAATGTAAAGTATGCATCGCTGATTTGTCCCATCTTGTATAAAAGAGGTCGTATGCCATAGCTTATTGAAATGCCAATGATTTCCAGTAAGCATTCCTATAAGATGCCGTTTGGTGGATCAATTGGTTGGCTGGTTTTAAATTGGAGTTTTGGACTTTTGGGTATATGATTGTGTTAAAAATTTATATAAAAAAAGAATTTTATCATTCACGGAGTTCTGTTAGATTTGACCAAATTAGTGAGATAATTAATGAATTGATGAAGAAATAAAATTAAAAAACTAGAAATACATTCCAAAATTCAAATCAGTAACAATTATATATAGTTGTATGAATATATAAGAATAAAAATATACTTTAATGATATGTGTATAGAATTAATTTAATTCAAGAGCTTAAGTTGTTGGATAATGTTACATTAATAATTTTATATTTCTTTAATATGCTCCTTTCACATGAGAGGCAAATAAGATTGAAGGGAGGATAATGTATTGACCAAATTTACCTATATTAAAAAATTCTATAATATTTAATTATATTTAATTAATAAAATAGAGGTGTTGAGTATCAAATTCACGACTACTTATATAATATAAAAAATAATTCAATTCAAAAACATAAACTGTTTGGTGTTACTATATTAATGATTTTATATTTATATGACAATATGATATATGTAATAAGAAAAAGGATATACTTACATCCTATTTTTATTTATAACTTTTTACAATCATATCTTAATCGTTATCTTTATCAATCAATAATTATAATTTATTGTAAAATAATAATTAATTAATAAATTTAATTTATGAAAATAATAATCGTTGATCGATAAAAATTAACAGTTAAAATATAATTATAAAAAAATTTAAACTAAAATAGGTTATAAAAATAATCTTTCTCAACTCCTTACAGTGGCACCGAAAACTATATGATTTTACATCTTTTTAATTGCTGACAAGTTTGAAAGCTACAAAATGAAGTAAAGTCCCTTCGAGACAATTCTTTTTTGAAATCCTAGGCACGTTTAACCCATTGTCACGAGGGATATGTATGGGTCCAATCGAACCGATTTTTTTGAAAAACTGAATCGAATTGGTTTAAATGGTTATGTTCAGAAGTGGTTCGGTTCGGTTCAAAATTGGTTCAGTTCGGAAGTAGTTCGGTTCGGTAGGAAACGATTCGATTCAAAACCGATTTGGAAACGATTCGGTTCGGGTCGACTCTCTTTTGAAAAGAAAAAAATTAATGTTATAAAAATCAATTTGGTTCGGTTTGAAAACGGTTTGGTTCGATTCAGTTCAAAATGGTTCGGTTCTTAAACTGGTTCTAAAAATCGGTTTGGTTCTTAAACTGGTTCTAAAAACCGATTTGATTGATGAACTGGTTCTTTAAAAAACCGATTCGGTTCATGAACTGGTTTTTAAAAAACGGTTATTTTAATGGGCGGTTCGGTTCGATTTATGGTTCGGTTCAATTTTTTGATTATTTTGCACATCCCTAATTGTCCATAGTATTAGGTAAACTTATTATTATTATTTCATTCTCATAAATAAAAATGGATAGAATTAAAGCGTTGTTAAATAATAAAATGAGCTATGCAATTAGTTCTTGATATATGTCCATGAAATTTGTGATCCGAATCTAGTTTAATTTGATGAGGTTATATATTTTTTTTTTTTACTACCAATCCATTCTTATTGTAATTACCGTTGAATCAAACTTTTTCACTCTAGTTCACAAACAAATAATTTGTTTTATTTTAAAATATTTGAGTGATCAGAAACTTATTTTTTGAGTGAAATTTTTAGCTTATTAACTTACATAAATTATGTACCTATAACACTAATATTATTTTGGTTATGTAATATGTAATAAATTTTGATTTGATTTATAGTTAAAGATGTTATCTATTAAATCTAAAACACTAGTATCATAAATATTATATATTTTGTTGATTTTTGTTGAACAATGATGTTTAATTTATTATTTTTAAATTAAAATATTTAAAATTGATATTTTTTTATAGGTATTCAAATATATTTATAATTTTTTTAATATATATTATAGATTCACTTATACTTATGAAGTCATGTAGTTGAACTAGTAACTCATTAATTGAACCAATAACCTAGTAACACAATAATAAAGTCGAATTTAATAACATTGGTACAATTTGTCTTATGTGTGGAATGATTTTTCACAAAAGCTACTTCAATTCCTCCGTTTTTAACTTTATCTTTTTCCCTAATCAAAATCTGGTTGTAACGATCAATCATATTTATTATTATTTTTATTATTATTATCATTATTATTACAAATATCTTTATCTATCGTGGGAAATACAAATGTCATGTTTTAATTAGTTGGCCAACTCACATGTTTTGATTCTTTTGAAGCGTGGACTGACAAAGATCTTTTGTCCGATTAGTCTTGTTATTCATCCAACAGATATCTGCAAGGGAAGTTACTTGATATGCATTGGAAATCAAGAACTAATAATCTTGATATAAATAACTTTAAATAAAGTTATTACCCATGATTCTTTTTATGCAACCTAATCATTAAAATGCATGCTCAACTAGCATGTTCGAAAAAATTTAGAAAATAGTTATTTTTCTAAAACAAAACTCTCTTGAAAATGAGTCATTTTTTAATTTTAAATAAATTATTCGAAACACTCATTTCATAAAATGTTATCAAATATGGACATTGGTTAGGCAAAAATTAAAATTACAAGATCATGGCTATACTCCCACCTAACCATTTGTCAGGTAATAATATTTCTTATAGACACTCAAATCAATCATTAATAAATTAAAAATATCTTCTTCTTTTTTAAAATACGTACCCTTTTAACATAGATTCATGTAATACATTGTCCCCGGTGCTTAATTACCTACAAATTTTTCTATTACTAAAGTTGCTGCATTTATCAAAACCAGGGTATATGCTACTTACCAATTAACATTTTAACATGAATAAAACTCTTTGGCATCTTCATACGGTATATATATGACACATATTTCAAGTTCAGGAGCTACTAAAAGCATCATTACAACCCAGGATTCAATGCATTTGTAATAGTGAGATTAACACACTGTTTATTCATTCATTCATACATTTACAACCCAGGATTCAATGTATTTGTACTAGTGAGATTACATTCGATGACACACTGTTTATTCATTCATTCATACATGCACGAAACAACCGACATCTATATAATATGTATAGCTAGCTAGAACAAATAATCAACAACACGTAGGAAATTGAACACAGCGAAAATGAGCACAGCAATCCCAACCACAGTGGAACTTGCTCTCCAAGGGTCTCTGAAATACACCAACCACAATGCAGCCATGGTACGATTCCAAACATTCTGGTAATGCTTATTAAGCTCATTAATAGTCTCATAGTAACATGTTGAATTTGTCACAACATGTTTGCAAAGACCATTAACAAGAGTTGCCACTTCCTTATCACTTCCCAATTCATGCACAATAACTTCCTTTTCAACCAGCAATTCAACATCAACCCGAGTGTGTATGAGAGAATCAATAAGTGAAACATAGTTGCAAAGATAAGGTTGTTCTGGATAGTGACACTGCTCAAAAGCAATGAGGTTCCTCAGAACACATTCTGTTGTGTGATCAACGTTCAATTGAGGAATCACAAATCGTGCTTTGAAATGGTTCAAATATGGTAAACAATTCAAGCAAAGAAATGAACTCAGAAATGGCTTCTTATTAAAGGTTATATCAAGTAACCTTCTTTCCTTATCTTTCTCAAAGCTTACCCCTGATTCTTGTAACTTTGTTGCTGTTCTTAGCACATTAAGGGAACAACCACTATTTCCCATTTCAGCAGGAAGGTAGAAAAATCTTATCAAATCAGTGAAATGCTTTAGATTTTTATACCTATCTTTGGGCATTGATTTATCCAAAGGTTTCTTCAAACCGAGAATTGTGCTAGTGAAGAAGTGTTTCTTGGACTGCTGGTTCTTGTCCAAAAGAACCTTGGTTTCATCAGAAGAGGATCTCTGAGTGTCATAAAATGCAAAGTATTCAAGTGCAAGTTCAACAAAGGAAGGATGTTCTTTCTTTTTGTCAACTTCAGGAACAACTGTATTATACAGTTCCTTTAGCACAAAGATTGGAATTTGATTTTCTATTAGTATCAAGTCCCTTGCAATGTCCTTGCTGAGCCATGACTGTGTCAAAATGTAATCATCACTGTGTTTAAATCGAAATGATTTGGTTTGCACATATTCATGCTCATGTTTGAATGAACCTGATTTCCATGAACTGTTCCTTAGAAAGAGTTCCATGATGAACACAGAGTCCAACAACACCATGTCCATGAATTTCTCCTTGCTGATTTCAGGGAATTTGTGTGCATAACATTGCTTTATTTCTTGTTCTTTGGTTTCAAGATAATCTTTGTAGCTGTTCATGGCTTGTTCATTATATACACGCTCCCAGAAGAAATGGAAATATCTTTTTTTGTGCTCTTGCATTGGCTTCGATTCTTCTTTGCCAAGGTGAATGGGACCTATTGAGATCAATTGAGGAGTATAGGCTTCCTCATTCACCTTCCTAAGATTGCAAGGAACCTTGTAGATGCTGCACTCTGAAAACTTGAAGTCTTCTAAGTCTCGAATGTCGATTATGTGTTTCACCATCTCAAATTCAGGTTCAGATAAAGCAAAAGAAGTGTTAGCATGTGCCATTGTTGCAGCAACCCCAACTTCAACTTCCTTTTCCCTATAGCAGTTGAAAAAACAGATCACTTTAATAGAGACCAAAATCAAAACCAGTTGTTCAATGCCATGATGGTCTATTACTATGATATTCATCAAGAACAATTAAATTAAAGATTCATATATAACATGTTGGAAATTCAAGTTTGAGCAACGACTAATTAAGTATGGATAAGGAAATTAAGACCATCTAAGTAAAAAGACCCATAAATAAAATGTTGTGACTTTTTGTAGTGAAATGCAATTTGTTAAGAAATAATTGTTACTTGTCACCATAACTTGGTTATGTTATAAAAGATGAAAAAAAGAAGAAGAAAAAACTAGAAATGCTTTACCAAAGAAACAGATCAGTTGAATAATTCTATGAAACTTTAAATCATTTACCCTTATTCTATGCAATTTGTTCAATTTGCCTATGTAAAGAACCTTGGGATACATCATCTTAAAGGCTAGCTCAAAGGGTGGGAGTGCTCAGGGCCTTATAAACTCCACATTTGTTGCTCTTCAACCAATGTGGGACTATCTATATATCTCAACACGCCCCCTCACGCAAGAGCCCTTTAGGCTAGAAGCATGGAAATTGCACAGGCCTATTTTTGGTTTACCTTTTTGTGCTTTTATTTATTTATTTTAATTCCACATTTTAAAGCACGGCCCATTTCTGATACCACGTAAAAACACTGATACACTTTCTAATGCAACTTTTTCAGTTTTTTACACCTTCCCTCTAGCTCTCTCTTTATCTCCTGCTTTAAGTGTGTTTCTCTTGGCAGTTGAACTTATCACAAAAGAAATAACTTGCTATGGAAAGACACGAGAAGACGAGTTAGTATGTGCAACAAATAGCTAATCAATTATGTTGCTGGTAGAACTTGCAAATACAGAACGCATAGTGAATCACCAAAGAGGAAGAAATTAGGAGACACTATCTTCAAAATTCAAAATTTAAAGAATCAAGTATATTATGAACATATTAATGATTTTTTATCTAAGATTTAAAATCGTAACTACTTAATCATAAACTATGATATGATATGGACCAAAACCAGCTGAGTGTTATCTCCGGAAAGGCTGTTAGAGGGGAAATGTTTCCGGCCAGAGTAGCTCTAAAATCTGACAGAATAACCGCACATGAATAAGATGGTCATTAGATATCTCTTTGATGTGAGAATAGTTTTATTAAAAAGATATAATATAAAATTATTGAAGATTCATGGCTTACTAATTTAAGATTATGGATTGAATTAATTTTTTATATGATACGAAATGATCACGTAATTACAAGTTCGATTTTCACCTCTTCTTATTTTTTAATGAAATTAAAATGAGTCTATATAATATCCCTGCTTCAAGATTTATATAGATGAAAAATATCTTTCATATTAATTTCTCGAAAAAAAAATTGAAAATAAGTTGAGAATAATGGATACAGATTCAGAACCTGGTTGTCGGGTGAAATCGGAGTTTCAGTTCCTCATCAATAGCTGCCACCCTTCTCCATGTTTGTGCTTGGTGTGTGTACGTAAGTGTTTTTATATTGGTTAAGAGTCATGATTGACGAAGACTTCATGCCACTTTAAATAATGTAGCACCGCTTTTGTTTGGTAGCTGGCTCAATCAATTATTTATATATCTTTAAATTTATATTACAATTTTTTATTTAATAATCTTTAATATTTTTTTATTGCTGATGACGTTGGTGCTGATATTTTAAAGATGCGTCATATTGATATTATATAAACAATTTTATTAATATATGTGAAATTTATTATTATTATTTAAGTATTAATCAGGCAATTTTTAAAGTTGGATGTTGACAATTGTTTGGGTTTTTTCACCCTTTTGCCCCTTATTAATTAATTAATAACTATTTTGCCCCTGATTTGAAACTATTTACCAATCTGTCCCTCTTTAATCGACTACCTTACATTTTTAATCGACTAAACGGTTGTTGGGAGATTTAATCGACTAAATCTCCCTACTTAATCGATTAAAATCATACTGACTTATTTTTTTTTTGTCAAATATGAAGATTTAGTCGACTAAATAGGGAGATTTAGTCGACTAAATCTTCCAGCAGCCATTTTTTGTCTGTTTTGGCCATTTAGTCGATTAAAAATGTAAGGTAGTCGATTAAAGAGGGACAGATTGATAAATAATTTCGAATCAGGAACAAAATGGCTATTAATTAATTAATAAAAGGCAAAAGGATAAAAAAAACCCCAATTGTTCGGCTCCACTGAGCATTTCGTTCTTATCCTGTCTCCCCAATGTCGCTCTGTTCCGCTATTTCTTCTTTTGAGTGCTATTATTTACACATTATATTTTTTGTCACTGAATAAAAAAGTTAGTTTCCATGCATGAACGATGTCTCTACTAATAAATAATATTGGTATTTTTCCTCGAAAAAGTATGTGCATGACATGTAACCTTCATAGGGATTGCGCATCTTTTTCCTCTATTTTTTGAGTCATGTTTCAATAAAGCAACCTTACCTTTAATTAAAGTTGAAAAATAATTGAAGCTTGATTTTACATTTGAAATATTTTAATGGATTTTATTCAAAGCTCATAAAACCTGAATCAATATAATTTAAATTTGATTGAATTTCGAGTTGCTTGTGTACAGATGTAGGATTGTTTTCTTATAAGGGTGTAGTATCTCAACATAACATTAATATAGTGAAACAAAGATATGAACCTAAGCTTAATAGAAGAGTCACCATAAGGAGACCGTGAGGATACGGTGACTATATAGCAAAAATTCGGCATAATTTTAGCAAGGAGAAGCAATGTGCAAAAAATAAAAAATATGATGGGCATTAACAGTAAATACAAAAATATGATGGGCCTCATCATATATTTTTTAAAAAATAAAAATCAAAAATTTATTTGAGTCAGCAACGTGAGAAGAATACTTCTCCAATTGTAGAAGAAGTATTTTTCCCCTGTTTAAATTAGTTCAAACACCAAACCATACCAGTAATAGGGTTGATCAAACCAATGAGCTCCCCATTGTATATGACACGTGTAAAGATACTTTTAAAATAAAATTACTGTACATCAAACGCCAGCTGTGGGAAACTGAAACTTGAAACTAAAGGATAAAGCCCCGTCAAGTCAAGAAAATAATAAAAATCACTCCCTTGAAACAACTTTATGAGTGATAAAAAAAAGGAAATACGTTTACAAAAAAAAAAATATAAAGGAAATACAAGAATTGCAATAAAGATTTTGTTTTGTATACTGATTTTTTTTTTAAGCTTAAAATCCACACTTATTTGTGTGTATAAAAAAATGCTCTTATAATATGAAATGACAAAAAATAAACCCATAAAAGAATCAGTTACTATTCTGAAATGGTTTGGTATGAGACAAGCGTGCTCCACGCGAAACTATTCAAACACATAATGATATAGGACTAATGTCCTAAAACATGTGGTCCAGTGGTTTCTAAGAAGTTATGTTTTTGGTTTGACTATTTGACCTTAGTTTGAATTCCGAACAAATACATTGTCTAATGTTAAATTTTAGCTGTTGAGTAATACATAATATACCCACATAAGTTATAACATATGATACATAAATATTTGTGTTATAATTTAAGTGTGTATAGTTTGTAATATAAAAGGACTAAAAGTTTATCCCTATTTTAAATGAGCATTGATAAATGGAGTCTAAGTCAGTGACCTCAATTATTTGGGATAAAAGTGATATTGATATTAATGTTGATCGATAAAAAGTTTAGAAATGTTTGGATGCATTGAGCCAGTTCTAACTTGGTATACCTTCGCTTCCATAGTTCAATTTCTATGAGGAGGCAATAGTTTCTGAAAAACTTTGGTAGATAAATTCTAAAAATTTAGTCTGATTAAATTATATTATATTACATCTCGACTAGTGATAGTAGGGTAGAAGGCAATTCAGGTACACGACCTTTATTTTTTGAATTCAAATATGTGATCTTTCAATTACAAAGAAATTACAAATTATTTTACCACTACTCTGGATTCCTCGTGTTTAATCTGATTATTGGTGAAAAAAGAAATTGATGCGTAATTGAAATAATTCATTAACAGATGATGGATAATAAGAAATATGGTAAATTTCTAACAAGATCTCTAGTTCCAGAGTTTTGGATGAAGTACACCAATAACCCTGAGAAAGTTGACAACAGCAAATAAGAAGACAACAATTCCCACGATAGTTGAACTGAGTCTCCAATGGTCACGGAAATACACTTACCTGAACATACCCATGTTGTGCTTCCATCAGCTGTTATAATGTTCATCAAGCCAGAGAGAAAATTTTCTTCTTATGTCACATCATTATTCAAGGAAAAGACGCAAGATACAACATGTGAGATAGTTGCTATACAGTTGCTTTGCAGGATAGATAACATATAGGAAAAAGTACGCATCATTTTAAAGGATATAAAATTATATTATTTTAAGTGAGAGAAAGAAATAAATAAAGAAAGAGAGAGAGTAGACAAAAAAAATATAAAGGTGTGGATTCCACCTCTTTGTGAGAGTGAAAGGATATAAGTTGTGTCATTCAAAATGATAAACACTCTTCGCTAACATATAACATCCATGGGCAACAAAGATAAAAAACTCTAGGCAAATTACGTGTACCTTTTGGGGTGGAAATTAAAGTGTACCTCTCCCTACAGACGGAGCCAATGATCAGAACCAGTATTATAATTGGGTTGATCATGTGATCTTCCTCTACATAAATAATCTGGAACTTTCTTGAGTCAGAGCATCTTGCAGTTGGAGCAGCTTTAACCCATGGGTCTTCAATGGAACAAGATGAGAGATGTACTTGCAAGACACTCCGATGCTCAAGTCAGATTTGGTTCAAGAAGGTTTTTATTATACAGAAGAAGATGTGTACCTTGGGTTAACATATATGTATATATAATGGAGAGATGACAGCTTTGAGAGATGTCTTTCTCCATGGTAAAGGTAAAGATTTCTCCTTATTGGTTCTTGCGGGTGGCTGAAGTTTATTGACGGTAAAGTTTGTGGAAGAAGTAGCTTGCTGTCATATAGCCTTTAATATTGAGGAATTTTGTTGAGATAGGCTTGTAAAATAAAAATGCTTACAAACTTAAATCTAATCGTTCTCTTCTCTCCCAGCGACCGAGACATCTTCAATCTTCACCTTGTTGTCGTGAATCTTCTAGAAAATGTAAGAATTTTATCCATTCAAATGATCCTTACAGTCGTTGATGGAAAACAAAAACTCATTCTTACTTCCTTTAAATTTTCCTTTGTCAGGAACCTTATCAAAAGAGGCAGAACCAGGTCAGCGTAGTGACCCCATTAGAATATGAGTTTTGTACTTTGGTATTCTGATACTTTAATTAGGTTATGTAATATTGACTTGTGGTTGTTATTGGTGAATTATGTAAAGTATATTTTGAATCTTTGATGATTGGTGGTTTGTTTTTTAATATTTTCATATAGGATATATATATATAAAATTATTTTTGCAGCCGCTTTACGTACAACAACGACAAGTGTATGGTTATGATTCCCCATATTTAATGCTTTTATCCTTTGTATGGTTATGATTCCCAGCATTTAATGTTTCCAAGTATGTATATGGCAAGTATTTGATTGTTGCACGTACAGCAGCTGCAGAAATGTAAATCCCATATATATATATATATATATATATATATATATATATATATATATATATATAGGGTTCGCTTTTTCTGCAGTTACTGCAGATAAGTTATCTGCAGTAAACCCAATACGACATCGTTTTGGGGCGAAAATCATAGTATTTTTGTAATTTTAATTTATTTCAGGGTTATAATAGTCTTTATATTTATAATTTTTAATATTTCAAGACCAAAACGACGTTGTTTTGGGAATAAATGCAGGTAACTTATTTGCAGTAATTGCAGAAATATTTTTTTCATATATATATATATATATATATATATATATATTTATATATATTTATTTAATATATAAAATCGGGCCAACGTAATGACCATGTGACCCCTTGATTGAACTCGTAACCCCCTGACCCTTGACCTTGCCCGGATCGATGACCGAACCAGGTTATTAAACACTGTAAAAAATAACGGGAGAAAAATATTGCCCTTAAAAAATGTGCTAAATTCAACGAAATTTGATTAGATTTTAGTTTGTTTAATTTACCTTACTATTAAATAAAATATTAAAACAAATTAGTTTCGTTCATTGTTTAGGCTTTTAAAAACAATTTATTTACAAATAACTTTAAATTTAATTTTATTATGGGTTTCAAACATGAGAACTCATTTTCAAATGAAATTAATTTCAATTTTATTGATGAGATTAATTTATATGGGCAGTTATTTGTCGCTATCTTGGTTTGATTTTATAGAAATAGATTCTGTGTTAAATAAAACATGAGATGGTTACGTGAAAAAATTGTAACTATACAAAAGTAAATTAATATAATTTTGTAACTACCTATCTTAATATTTTTTTTTTCTTTTATCACTGTTATTCAGCTCATTTCA